AAATTTGTGATTCTTGATTCTCGGCCTCGACGCTTCGCAACACATTACGCATTTTAGAACACTGGTTATACATATAATTTTGTTTATCTTTCTCTTGACTAGTCAGTTTTCAACCAAAATAAAATTAACAGGTCTAATAATTTTATCCTACATAAGTCGTTCATTTCAGTTAAAAAAAAAAAAATCTATCCTAGACAACTCAGCATCATATTTGACGTATGTTATTTTGCAAGATGACGTCATGAACAACATATGAATTTTCTTGTACAATTTAACCATTGAAGTACTTGGTACAATGTATTATTATAAAAAAAAAAAATTGAATATTTTCTATGAAATTTAAAAGTTTAGTAAACCAATTCAGTAATTTGTGAAAAGGGCACTATTAGAATAATTTAAATATGATTTGGAAATAATGGAATAATTAAAATGATCAATTATATAAATTAAGATAAGATGGAAGAGAATTATTCATTGTCGGTTTATTTGATTCCAACATCCAAACAGCCCAATTTCCTATATAAACTCATCGCGTGGCCTTTTCAACTCCCAAAAGGAATCTGTTCTCAACAGCTCCGAAGCATCAAGAAATTGGCTTCCCTGATCAACAATCTTCCACTAAAACTCAGAAAGCAGAAGAGCAGAGGATTTGAGTGTGGAGAAATGGCGCAGCCTAGCAAAGAGCCATGTAAGAAACAAGCCTGTGATATTCAAGCTTGCCTTTCCAAGAACAATTTTCTCTCGCAAAAGTACGTAATTTTTTTTATCATTGACCTTTCATTTTTTTCGTTGTTATTGATTGATTAATTAGTCTCTCGTTATTTGAATTCGTTAAAAGAATAAAACCCACTAATTAGTTTTTAATGGGATTAAATTGAAATCAAGGTTTTTTTATTTGTTTTGTTATCTTTATATTTCTTGGTTCAGTTAGTTGCATCATATTATTAATCTCAATTAATTTTTCTATAGTTCATTAAATACATGTGGGTTTATAGAATGCTGATTGATTTATTTAAATATATTTGTATGTTTTCTTTTAGGCTGTAGGATGAAATATTGGTATAATATTCTAATTCAGAAATGTATTTCTATGTATATTTTCCACAGTTTTCGACACCTTTTTAAATTAATTGTTGGTCACAAGATTCACAACTCACAAAGCTTATAAATAATGTAAAGACTAAGGATTCCTGAGCAAGTTAATTTTTTATTTTTTATTTTCCTTTTATTTGGAGTTTGAGAGTTTCTGAGTTCATTGAGAGTTTGTATATTTAGTTATATACTGCATTTGTTGGCTTTTAGCTAACAGAAAAAGTTGAATAAAAATGGATTCCCTGTGGTGCAAATATAATTTAAAAATCTTTTGGTGATTCTTGAAGTGTTCTGTTATAGTCTTGATGTCAAAATAGTATTATGAAATGATTAAGAATTATGTTATTTGGGAACATTAACTGTTCGGAGTTAATTTATGCGGAATCAGTTCATTCTGATTTAGCCTATGTGACACACTTCATTAATGATCTTAAATTAGGTCCTCTTCGTATCTTTTGAGGGTCAGTTGTCTGTGAATTATGAAGCCACCTAAAAGTTGGAACTGAATTGTGCACCTTTCTGTATTCGTTTTGTTCCTTTTTATTGTGGGAAAAGCAAAATCTTATAGTGACCCTTTTTGTCATATGACATATCATCCCAGAATGTCTGGTCGTATTTTGTGACTCCTTTACCGCTTTAGCTATTGCGAATTTTACTCTTAACAAGCTGCAATGGTTGAGACTATTCATTTGCTGTTGAGAGTTATCTTTCCCCTAAAGTCCATTCATACTATCAGCCATCTTAGAAGAATCTTCGTTTATCTTGTAAACCTGGAAAATATTTTAATTTTTGTTATGTTGTTAACCAGAAATGTACCTTCTATTAATCCTGAACGTGATCAAGATCCTCATTTCAAATTAAATGTCTGTAAGTTTATGGAGAAGAATGCCTAGAAGTATTGGACTGGTTGCACGAAGTGGAAAGAATTTTTGAGTTACTTGATTTTTCAGAAACAAGCAAGTGAAATTGGTGGAAGCATGTAGGCACTCTTCTAGAGTATACAAATTAGTTTATTAACTACGACATAAGTGCAGCTAGCGGACATTTAAGTATAGGCTTCATCATTGTTTGGTGGTTTATGGACAAATATTGGCAACTTTATGGAGCTAAACTTTGCTGGGCATTGGCTAGTGCTGTCTTACATGTGATGAATGTTGAAAGCAAGCAGTCTAGGTACCAATCGAGGGTTTATTAGAGAATCAGGGAGAGCATATCCAGCCCTTTTAACTTCCAAAAGAAAAATAAAAAATAAATAGAAAAAGATGATGGCATATGGAGAATGTGATTGATAGCATTGTCATCAATAAAATTACATTACAATTCCAATTTCTAGATTGGATCTACATGTTGAATATTGCATAGAGCTAAGGGTTTCTTGAAGTTGATCTTAAAACTGGCTACAGCCAGATTCAGGTTTGTGAAGATGATATTGAGTGGAGGACGGCATTCAAGATTGACGATGGATTCTATGAGTGAATGTCGACACCTTTTGATTTGTCTAGTGCCCCCAGCTTCTTTATGCATTTGATGAGCAAGTCTTGAAGCAATTTTTTTTTGGAAGTTTGTTTTCATCGGTTATACTCATATCTTAATGTATTTAGAGCTACAGGTCAAATCATGAAGCATTGAAGCATCTCAACATATAGAAGGAGTTAAACAAAACCTACGTTTTTTGGTTTTATGCAACCAAATGCCTAGAATGTGGGAATCGGCCATTCTACACGTAGGAACGTAGGATTTGCAAACAAGTCTCCAAAAACTATTGCATAGAGCCCTTTTTGACATAGTCTATCGTAATCAATCCATCTATTTTTTAAATCTGATTCCAGTACCATAAATTGGAAAGGATAGTGCAAAGGGAGATGAAATAGTAGAAAAAGCGAAGAGTTTCAGAGTATGGTGACTCAAAACTTATTAAGCTTCTGCTTCATTTTCATAAGATTTATATGGGTCACAACTAAAAGTAACGTGTACAACCGATTGCAAAAATAACTCTGTTAATGAGACTTGAGGCAATGAGTTTAAATAAGAGGAGTGCCTTGCAGTCTTTGGGACAGCTAGAGTAGCTTCAGAAGCTTTTATGGACACTTATTTCTCACGTCATTTAAGCTGCTTTTCTTCCGAACAGCATGTGAATCTAACATTTAGAGAGCATTATTGATATGTATTTTGTTTTACTTCGGGTAACTAACTACAGAAGCATTTTATGATTCGTGATGCTGTCTGATTTCTTATATAGGTTTCCATAGTATTGTCATTACATATACTTTGTTTAGAAAGAGGTGTCAATGAAATGGTTGCAAACTTGGATTATATTTGTGATCAAACTACGTGGGAGAAACAATTTTTACCAAGTGCACTTCGATATCCATATCAATTTATGTCATACATGGCTGGCTGATAACGTATTAACATGCTTGTTCGCTCAAGCGCAGGTGTGTCAGAGTCATCCAAATGCTGCAATCCTGCTGCGAGCAATGCGAATACAAGTCAACACATTGTGCATCAGTATCTGGCCTTCTAAAGCAAATAAACAAGTAAATATTTGGGACATTCAGGCTGAAGGCAGGAATTTTCGTAACTTGTGAAGTCTTTGGGTTACTAGGACTTGAATGATTCAACATTTTCTGATAGCAATTTGAAACTTGTTGCCTCCCAAAATGTAATAGAGTACTGAGTACTTAACAAAATCTTAGAGAAGGAAATTTCAATTTTCGCTCTTTTTATAAGACAGTTCCTACTTCAGGTAAAGCAATTTTTTGTAAAAAAATAAATGTATGCTTATAAGCTTCGCTGGTCATTGAATGCTAGTCCTTCACTCTCTAGAGCGGAACACAATATTGTTTTTTATGCCTTCTCTAAGATGAACTGAATCAGTTTTTAGGAACAACTCACTCTTTCCTTTCTACTGTATACAAAAAGGTGTTGGGTACATATGCAGTATTTGATACAATACAATCACAGATGGGTGTGGCTCTTTCCCAAAGATCTTGTTTTTGTGAGTCGACTCGACAAGAATAGAAGGGGGGAACCTACGTTATGTTGCTCTTAAGGAAAACATGCCTAGTATGGCAATGAGATGGAAGGAACTCCTTACTTTCACTGCCTAGGATTGATGCAACTGCGAGATCTGAAAAATTTAACCCCAGTATCAAGATTGATTACATTAGCACTGACGATGTTAAGGGGGCTCGTTTGTTATAACTTTTGTTTTTGCTTTCTGTAGAAGAGATTTTGAAGGAAGCTACTTTAATTTTTGTTTGGAAGCTAATTTTTAAAAGAGTTTCCTATTCCATAGTACTTTTAAAAAAGCTACATTGTATCATTTTTTTCTAAAAGTCTTTCTAACTACCGGAAGCATTTTCTTAAAATTAGTCAAATATGTTCAAAAGCACTTTTTTAGTATCAAAAGCTCCTTTTTAACTTTTAAACAACAATATCAAACAAGCCCTAAATTACTGAGGTTACACAAAGATTACAAATGCAATAACACAATGTTATAGACATCACCACTAACACTGTCAAGTGTTACGTCATACACCATTCCAATCAGATTACAACATCGACACTACCCAATTTGCAAACAACATCCCCCAACTCAAACCACCAGACACATACTTATGGCTCACGACTTACGTTCATCTCACACTCGATATTCACCTCTATAATTGACTGATTTGACCTTTGAATTGCTTGCGATCGTCTTTTCCGTCATCAGAGAGTCTCATGTTTTTGATAGTTTGTTTAATTGTGCTTTTATCCTTATTAGTGAATGCGAGTGGAGTCCGAATTTATTGACCACGTCATCCAGCCAATAAGTGAGGTCAACACTTTACTTTAATAAAATCAAATTGCATTACTTGTGAATATTTTGGTAAAGTTAAATTGCATGTTGGTACCCTTCGATTAGATCTTTGATCCTGTGTGTTCATGTGGCTTCATAGCTGGATAGAGGACGGGAAGAGGAGAACGAAGGGGAATCTTGTAGCGGTGAAGGAAGAAAGAAAGAACGACTTTCTAATGGTAAGTTGTTGCGTCGTAGTTTTCATTTTGTTGATTTTTACCTGGGTTGTGTTTGTTGTTTGATAAAAATGGCTCACTGATTAAGAAAATCTTGAATGGTTAAAATATTTGTTGCAGTTGGACTTTTATTTGACACTATAAATACTATGAAGTTAAGGGAGTTTATGCTACAGATGAGAGTGGAACTCGTGTTATTGTCTCCTATCATGAAAAAAGTAGTGCACATGCAACACTAAAGGAATTAGATGGATGCCCATGTTCTGATCTTGGAGGCCGTTCATTGCACATTCACTATTCAGCACAATCACTGGGCAAGGTGTGACTTTGTACTGCTTGTGAGACCATTTTGTGGGGATTATCCCCTGTTTGCCGCAGAGACGACGTATACACAAACATTATGAGCAAGATGTCGAAATTTGGATGTTGATTAGTTCAGTTACATATGAATAGATCGAATTTTATACTATTTCAAAATGCATTTTTTGCAATAAAAAATGGGCATCAAACGAAACTCTTAATATTTTATTGCTGACAACGGTGGACGATCCACAGTGCCCGTGCTGACTCGAAATCCTGGGTCCGCCACTGATTCTATATGTATATATTATTACAGGTTTGATATGATTCTTTAATGAGATCAACCATCCACAGTGCCATCAAGAATTCAGGAGGCAATTGGGTATAACTATGAACACAGATCAACCTTTCCAGTATCAGTTTAATTTACTGTGGGAGTGGCAGGCCAATTAAGCTTCATTCGTTCATTATATGATTTACATTAGAATATCCATCTGTAAGTTGATGAGTCCACTTTCTACCTCAGCCAATCATATTTTTGAATTAAATATGTGATCCTCAGATAATGGTGAATATTCAGTTAAGCTCAATCTAAGTCATGAAACCATTTTCTTTCCATGGATTAGGAGTAATTGAGAATCAAATGATTCAAACCATTTATGGATAAGCATAGTTAATAGTTGAACTCAAACTTTATATATTTTGATGCTATACTTGAGTGTATGAGTCATGACTTTGCACTACTAAAGAAGAGGAGGCTAAGGATAATATTTGGTCTAATATGTAGGCTCATACCCAGTTTGTTCTTCTCGTGCATCCACATATTTACTCTGATATATTATGTATTCCTTATAGAAATTACTTTCAACAGTGGATATTCAGCCATGGCAACATCTTGTCAAAAGAAGAGTTCAGCACTACAAGTACGAGTTCCATTATGACTTTTCTGATTCATTATCAAAAATACTTATTAATGAATCAGCCTTCCATATTATTTGATTGGATATTTTGTTGTTTTCCTTTTCGCGTCTCCCTTACCTCTTATAGATAAGGAATGTTGACACAACGCAATATACTTGGGTGATCTTCCATCCTTTATGTCTCCAATACTTGGATCAAAATTGTTTGGATTAATGTTCATAGTTTTGTCTATGCTGATAACTAAGGGATCATTGATTACAATTGTTTTAAAAATTATCTAATATTTGAGATTTTAATATTTCCTGGATCTCATCTAAATCTTCATTAAATCTACAACTCTCAGAAAGCGATATGTAGGCAAATTATGCAAAAGTTTTCACTTTTCATATATTAATTTTTAAAACTTATACACGGCAAGCGTGTTTATATAGGCCTGTTTGGGAGGGATTAGATTTTTCTACAGTAAATCAATTCTTATTTTCAACCGCATATTCTTCAATAAAATAATATTTTTCATCACATCAATAATTTTTTCTTCTTTTTCAACCACACATTTCCCATCATATCACTATTCAAAATCAATTCTTCCCCAAAAAATCTCTTTCAAACAAGCTCTATAGTATTTGATCGACATTTTATCTCTGCTCTGTTGCCTTCACTCAGATTGTTTTCTGAAGTCTCACTAAGTTGACAATACATATCATAATTTTTCTGCATACCCAATTTATTTGACACCATAATTCAAGATGAAAACACTGCATGTTGTGAATCTGAGTAGTCGGTTGATCTTGTGATATCTTCTGCCCTTGTTGCTTTTGCTGGCATGAAATCTGGTCTTAGTCTAGGACTATGCTAGTTAATGGATAATTATTTTTATTCTTGCTTTAAGGATTCTACGATTGTATAGAACTTCAATAAATAAATAGTTGTAAGGAGAAGTTAAATACGGTGAATACCAAATGGTCGTATCAAGAACAAAAAATATAAGAAGAATAGAGATGAAAATTAAGTTATATCTTTTACATTTACAAATGAATTTTTCTTATATTCACAAACACTTATTTTTAACGAAGAAGGCTCGAAATGTGTTTACGATACACATTCTAAAATCAATATTGGCTCTCTCTCGAAATGTGTTTACGATACACATTCTAAAATCAATACTGGCTCTCTCTCTCTCTCTCTCTCTCTCTCTCTCTCTCTTTGTGATTGCTTTCAGGTTTACTTCGATAAATAACTGAACATGAAAACCCATGAAAGAAACTTGGAACATTTTTAAAAATTCCAATTTTTTAAGGTTACTTGGAGATGAAGAAGGATTATATTGTTTCTTCACACTCAAAAATGATAGAATCACACGCGCGCACATCACCGAAACCTTCACTACTACTTTGCTCCTTTTTTTTCAATTTTGCAAGTTAAGCCATGCATTTTCCTTAATTGTAACTCAAGACTGCAAACTTTCTTTCAAGTTTATAAATAATCCCTTTCCATAATTTCACTTAATTAATTGAAATTTCATTTTAATACATAAATTTATTACAAGTTTACATATTAGTCACCTCAAAATTTTGAACTATTAAGTCCTGCGATTCATGCAAAACTTATTTCGAGTCGTTGAACTTTTAATCTCACTTTTATTTGAACAAATTTTCAACAATTTCTAAACGGGTACAACAATTTGAGGAAGAATAATTTCACTTAATAGTGCAATTGAATGTGTTATCTTCCTCCCCGTTTGAGCCCCATTTTTAGGGATAATGTATTTTAAAATAGTAATTTTTTTTAAATGTATGTTTAAAAAAATAAAAAATATTTAATTTTACATGTAAAATTATTTTATAGGAGAATGTGCAAATGAAAATAAATTTTGAAAAATGAGTTATTGAAAAAATGGAGCCTGTTAGTGGTCTCGACTATTGAAGTAGAAATAAGTAGTTTAGACCTACTCATAGTTTAGCCTATTCATGAAGTAGCAGACTGAATTTTGGGCCGCTTAAAATCCAACCCATTACTGCAGTAGAAAAATCAGATTTCGGGCCTCAACTGACTACGACCCAATCCATGATTGAAGTATAAGAATTGGCCCAATCCTTTTCAATTGGACTTGATTTCTAATCTTGAGGAAATTACAAAAAATCAGTGGTTTAAACTTCATAATTCAAAATTCAGGTTCAAGTTTATCTAATCAAAAATCAAGTATGAATTAAATATTTAAATAATATTATAATATTAATATTTTAAACCCTAATTCATTTTCAATCCATACTTTCCCTCACTACTTTCTCCTACCCTCCCATCTCTCTCCATAAGCCAGCCGTCGAAGCTGCCCATCTGCCCACAAAGTCGCCGGCAACGTTCATCACATCTCCAACAGCTCGCCGCCGTTCAGATGTGCAACACGTTAATTCCTAATTAATTCTCTCCGCCTCATCTCTCTTTCAACATTTCTATAGCTCACCGCCCTCTCTTTCGCTCTCTCTCTCAACATTTCTATTGTCGTCCCCCCCTCTCTCAACATTCCCAGCCAAGTCGCCTCCCTCTGTTAGAGCTACCGTCACAAGAAGCGGCTACAGCGGCGCTCCTCTCGCCGCCGCTCTCTTTCTCTCTTCATCCCTCATCTCGTCTTCTCTCATGAAAGTGTCGTCGCTGCATCTGAACTGAATCGCAAAGCTCAGTTCGCACTAGCAGCAGATCGTCGTCGCCGTCTCCTGGATGTGGTGTTTGTGGATATACTGTGTTTGTGGTGGTGCTTGTAGATCTACCGTGACCAATAATTTAAATAGTATTGTGTGTTTGTGGTGTTGTTTGTGGATCTACTGTGTTTGTGGTGGTGTTTGGGTGGGGGGTTTAGGTGGTTGTGGTTGGTGGTAAAAAATCAAGTATGAATTAAATATTTAAATAATATTATAATACTAATATTTCAATCCCTAATTCATTTTCAATCTATATTTGTTCTCACTACTTTCTCTCACCCTCTCCTCTCTCTACATAATCGGGGTCATCGAAGTTGCTCATCTCTCTCCACAACGTCGCCAGTAGCGTTCATGACATCTTCCACTCCAACTCTCTCCCTCGTCTCTTTGCATCCGACGTTGCCGGTAGCAACGTCGCAACGCTACTTTGAATGGAGCAGTGTCGCGTACCGTTCACGGCTGCCAGTTGCCTTTCACGGGGTGTGTGCAGTCGTGGGTGTGTGTGTGTGTGTGTGTGTGTGTTGTGAACGACAGTCGGCGAAGTGGAGTTGTGGTGATGGTGATGCGTCGAGGTGCAGTGGTGGTGTTGATGCTGGTTGTAGTGGTGTTGACTGCAGATGTGGTGTGTGGTGGGTTCAGGTTGGTAGTGGTGTTGATAGTCTTTCGTTGAATACTGCGGTGGTGGTGGGTGTGTATGTGTGCTGTGGGTGCTGTGCAGTGGTATTGGCGGCGTGGGTGTGTGGTTTTTGGCCAGTCGTAGAGTGTGTGGTGGGTTGGTAGGTTCAGATCTCGTTTGATAGTGGTGCTGATAGTGGTGATGTTGTGTTCGTGGTGTTGTGTTGTTATTGTTGTTGGCGGTGGTAGTTGTGGCAGTGGTGACGGGGATTAAGGGTGTTTGTGATTTTGATTTTGTGACTAAAAATATAATTTATGACCTTAAAATTCGGTGACTAAAAATATAATCCGTAAACAACCATTTTTTTATCTGTGACCTAAAAATTATATAATCTGTGACCGTAAAAAAATTTTTGACCAATTAATTTAGAAATCTGTGACTGTGTGACCTATAAATTTTGATCTGTGACAAACTAAATTTGAAATCTGTGACCAACGAATTAATTGTGACCTATAAAATTTTTGAATTGTGACCGCTGGAATAATTGTCGGAATCAGAGTAGTCGTCGGGACGGTCGTCGGAATAGTCGTTGGAATGATCACCGGAGAAGAGTGGTCGGAACTGTCGCCAGAATAATCCCCGGAATGGTAGGGATGGTGGAGGTGTGGTGAATTAATTATATTATATTATAATTAAATATTTAATAAATTTATTTAATAATTAATTAATAAATAAATACCTGAGTTTTGCATTTTGAAACTTGACACCTGAAAATTGAATTGTGTCAAAGTT